CAGGCACAGGGGCAGCATGTGAGTAAGATCACTGGCATGTAGGTCTCCACAGAGGTGGGAGCGGTACTGAGATGACTGGATCACGTAATAGGTAACTGTCTGCATTATCTCTGCTTAAGGGTAAGTCCTGGCAGTGTTGATGATGATCAGCGTGGGTCTGTAGCAGTTTTGGAGTGATAGTCTTCCCGTATAGGCTGGTGTTTCCAGGGCTGCCTTAGAGCTGCTCTAGCCTGGCCCTGGGCATCCGTGACTTTGAGTTGGCAGTTCTGAAGTCATGGATACAGAACATGGATGCTGCTTCCCAGAAACGGGTGTAGACAGTTCTGTCCAGTTGCCCTCAGGGTAATTTTTTGAGCCACTCTCTCTGTGTACCATCGATCTGGTGCCTCGATTTAGACCATAGGCCAAGCATACGTGGACCACAGGGGCTGAGGGCTGGAGAGGGCCGACAGCATCTCCTTTCACGTGGGTGAGAGGAGCAGCCTGTACGTCTGCTTTGTCTCATCTTGGGAGGAGGAGTGTCGGGCACCTGCCTTGATGGGCATGGTCAGGCAGCTAGGAACCAGGTACATTCTACCCGAAACAGCAAGAAGAAACCAGACGATGTATCCTGAGTACAAGGATGGGGAGGTGTGCTCTGTCTGAGGTGGTTAAAATATCTCAAATGACCCCTTCCCCTTTCCCAGGAAACACGCTCAGCCTACGTGGATAACCTGAACTCTAGAGGTGCTGCGGTTGATGTGAGCGAGGGGTATAGTTGTATAGCCAAATCTTGAATAAGAGTAAGCTGTTCGCAGGGCTTTCCTGGCTAACTCTACATTTCTGTGACCCCAATCTAAAACGCAACCGCCCACCCGGCCTTTACTGCCAGAGGTGCTCGCTTTGTCCGAGACGGCCTGCAGGCTTCTGCGGCTAGCCAGGGAGGTTGGCAGCAGAGAGAGAGGGAAGGTTACGTGGTGGTAGTAGCGATCATCACAAATCCGGTAGGACAGACTGGCTAACTTCCATGTTTCCTACTTAGTCTACATAACAAAGGCCTTAGACTGTCAGACATGCTTGGGGTGTCCAAAATCAGGTGACAGGGACCCACCTTGATCTGTCTCTAGAGTTACAATGGGCTGAGATCCTCCAGGTGTGTGTCACCTGGACACCTCTGTGCTTGGCATTGCTTTGGAAGTGCAAGTGGGAAGTGTAGGCACTACCTCAGTGGCAGACGGACTGCAGAGATGCCAAACGTGAAGTAGCATCATGGGCTCTTCTTCGGATGAACTAGTACAAGACGAGTGATCTCGGTGACAGGTGAAGCCAGCTCAAGTGATGATTGACCTCTCAGAAACGTGACGATTCCCCTTCAAAATGGGTGTAAGTCTTGCACAGAGACTAGTTCTCAGTTACGTGTGTCCTGTTATGTGCATCCTTCATCCTTAGCCGTCATCGTGGAACCGGAAACTACAGCTGACTTTCCATGGGTGAACTGATAGTTAGCTGTTGCGTATCATCTCTGCGGGAAGCGAAGGTAGACAGTGTCTGTCCCTCGTTTTCCTTCCATCCTTGGCAGGAAGACTAGGAAACAGCAGCGCTGTTCCTGTTCCGGTAACAGCCGCTGCTGTCAGTGGTAACCTTGGAGAAACACCCGCCGTACCGGGGTGTTGCGTGTGCGCGCTTGTGGCGTAGCCGTAAGTGCAGCGCTCGCGTTCCTGCCGGACAGACGGGAACGTCCACCATCTCGTTACTGTTACCTTGTACCCTGTAGAGTATTTGCTTAGTGAACAGTGAAGGAACAAAACTGTAACTACGTCCCCCAGGTACTGGTTGGTATGCATCATGCGGTAATTATTCTGGGAAAGGCTCTCCTTTGCCATTGGAGTGTGTGGATCCCTTATCCTCCCGCAGGATCCCCCTCCCACTGATGTCAGAGGAGAAATATGTGTAAGGGGGAAAGGGCAAAACAGAGCAATGCAGAGCAGGAAGAACTTTGCCCGAACACAGAAAATACTGCTGGGTGTCAGCAAATACCCACACCTGCACTCCAGCTTTTCCAGCCTGCGCGTCTGCGGGCAGGTGGAGAAGGCTGTCGGTGGTGGTGTGTGAATCCAGCACACTGGAAGAGGGCAAGTCTTCGTTCGGTGCTGGAGGAGGAGGTTATTTTTCATTTTTCCCTCACAGGTGTCTGAGTTTTGGCCTTGCCTCCAGTTGGAAAGCGATGCCTTTTTCTGGAGCAAAGAGGAGAGCTGACCCGTCTCTTTCATGCACCTGGGTTTGAGTTTCTCAAATGCAAAACCTGAGTTCTGGTAACTCTCAAACTGGGAGCTTTAGATTAAAAAGCAACTGCTCAGATGATGCTCAGGTGAAGGAAGTATGCGAGGTGTGACAGAAATATGTCGGCTGAAAGAGATTGTCAGTTGGCTTAATCCATCGATTTAGGTTCGTTACTGTCATTTGGCCCTCAGACCAAACCCTGCCATAGCACATTGCACAGCGATGATAGCAGCACTACGTGGGGAAGGGGAGGGAGCTTCAGGTCACCAGCTCTCGCTGGTCTCAGGGTCTTGGCGTCCCTTCTTGCAGTGATGGGGTGTTATTTAACGGGACAGAGCTCTCCTGTGCCATGGCTACTCCCTGCTGAGGGAGAAGCTTAATCCACAGAGCACTCCTGAAACGTCCCTCTAGGTCCTGTGAAGGATTGACTCACTAAATCTTCTTTCTCAGCATCATCTGGGACACCAGGTCCCTGACTGAAGCTCAAAGCCTGCTGTTCTAGCAGTAACTGAGCTGCCACCATCTGTCAGCTGACGGCCTCATCCTTCTGACACTTTACCTTTCTGTCATGGCGCCTCAAACTGGCCTTTCAGAGGTGTTAAACTGCTGCTCCTGATGATATCTCTAGTGAGCACGCGGCTGTTTACTTTCAGGGTGGCATTTTTTTTGTTTCAAACTTTGCTGGTCCTGCCCCATTGGAGGGGAAGGCAGGTCCTGCTGAGTCATGCTGGCAGGCACAGATGTCTCCAGTTTAGTCTCCCGTACAGGTCAAGATGCTGGGGAATGTGGTGGAGAGGGAGGTAAGGAGGTGAAATAGTGGTTTTAAAGGAACACAAACACACAAAAAAACCCCTGTCCCTCTAAGATGGATATACCTGCTGCTCTTGTATCTAGCTGGAATAAAGCTTGAAGGAAGCCTACTAATCACCCAGAAATAGATGCGCTGCAGGAAATCCATGAATCACTACAAGATTTAACAACGAGATGTAATGAAACTTTCTAATAACCAGAGTTGAATTAGAGTGATCAAGAAATTATGAAGGCACACTCCCTCCATTAGACATGCATGACCTGACAGGTTAATAGAGGCAAACAGCCCAAAGACACAAATTACAGACTTCTGTGGAATGGGGCTGATGACGAAGCAGTTCATGAGCAGGTTGTGACCACAGACTAGATGATCTTACGGGTCTTTTCCAACCTTAGTGACTCTGTGATAAGGTTAGCCAGGTGGATTTCATGGCCAGCTGGGGCAAACTTTGCCTATTCCTTGTGGGCTAGCCATGGAGCTGCAAGTGCTTGCGTTGGCCTTCAAATCCTATATGGACATGGTCATTTAACCTGTAGAATAGCTGAAAGCTCTCCCCCTGCAGCACTATACAGCCCCAAAGGTGTCAAAATGCTTTATAAACTCAGTCTCTAAGAGAAGGGAAGGAGGACCCTCTATATGGACGTGGTCATTTAACCCGTAGAATACCTGAAAGCTGTCCCCCTGCAGCACTGTACAGCCCCAAAGATGTCAAAATGCTTTATAAGCACAATGTCTAAGAGAAGGGAAGGAGGACCCTTGCTCCCCAGGGAAGTGCAGCTGCCGCTCTCTGCCAAACTCCTCAGCTTGCACGGTGCAGTCTCCTTTTCTGTCTGGTACCCACGGTGGTCATTTAACCCGTAGAATACCTGAAAGCTGTCCCCCTGCAGCACTGTACAGCCCCAAAGATGTCAAAATGCTTTATAAGCACAATGTCTAAGAGAAGGGAAGGAGGACCCTTGCTCCCCAGGGAAGTGCAGCTGCCGCTCTCTGCCAAACTCCTCAGCTTGCACGGTGCAGTCTCCTTTTCTGTCTGGTACCCACGTCAAACCTGCAGAGCTGCACCTTTTTTCAGTGTGGGTGGGGAACAAAGGACAGAAATGTGCCTGTTTTGCCCTGGGCTTCTGCTGAGATAAGTAATGCTGACCCCTGGGATCCATAAAGTAGGCAGTAACCTCTCCAGCCCGGTGAGCAGGTGAGGAGGGTCTGGTGTTGGCCGTCTTTACAAGTGGGCGTTCAACTGAGCAACTCCAACTCGGGAGTGGGTGTCAGTGCAGGAACTGTCCAACCCGACGCGCCGGTTACAGCAAGTAGAGACCGAAGGAGGCTCTTTGTGATCCAGAGCAGCTTTTGTGCGAAGCCTACCTCGAGCAGTGTGTGCTCTCCGAAGGCAGCAGTGGGGCATTGAGCCTGGCTCAGCGCTGACCTGGCGTGCCGAGTCACCAGCTGCTCTGACGTGCTGAATCCTAGGAAATCCTCTTCCCGTGAACTGTTGTGACTCAAGGACATCTTGATTTTCATCACCAGAAGAACTCTTCCTGCCACGAATGCAGTGCCATGCCCGACTGGAACCCTGGCTGTGTCCCTTGCGCAGGTGCATTGCCCGACGAGTCAAAAAACGAACAGAATTTCTGCCTCTCCTGCCCAGTTTCAGTCAGAATGTGGGTGAGAGGTGGTCACAGACACAGAGTTTCTGTTTGATTTCTGTTCTACATTAAAAGTTGGTGTTTCAGAGACGTTTCTTTGGGTCTGCCTTCTATAATAGAGACAGCAGAACTGTCAGACTTACACTTTTTCAGCTTACAACACTGGGTTTTTCCTGCTAAGAAAAAAAAGCTTCTATTATTCTTGCATTAACTTACTGAGTACACCAGCCAAAATACTTAACGATACCTGAAAAGCATCTAATTTTGACTCTTCTTTTTTATTCTCTTATAGGTTACCTATTGCAAGGAGTCCTGGGCACAACAGTGATCCCATTATGTGGACCTGGTGAGATGGAGAACTGCACAACAGCACTAAGTAAGTCTGTTGCACAGCTCTCTTGGTAAACAAGTCTTTGATACCCATCTTCCTTGGGCTTGCGGCCTCTGTGAGGTGCCCTTGGGAATCATTTTTCTGTTGAGCAACGTTGGTAATGTCCTGCAAAGTGCTCAGTGTTGTTTGAACGAGAACCATTTTTTAGCCTGTGTTTCCTTTAATATTTCTTCTTCAGCAGAAGAGCTCTGTGTGAGGTAAGAACGCTGTCATAAAAGCAGAAGTAGCTTATGGGGAAGGAAAAGTCAGTGTAACTCTGGGCTGGGAAAATCTTCTGCCTGTTCAGAAGGCTCACCGGCTCTCATGCCTGCTGCACCCGAGGTGTCTGGGTAGCAAGGCTGTTAGTTGTACTTGTAAAGCTTGTACATTGTTTGGGAAATACAAAAGGAAAATAAGGCTGATGAGATGCTAACAAAATCTCCTTGCAGTCCAGACGGAGAACAGCCCACGTGTGGCTCAAGTGGGGATAGCAAGATGCCAGCCTGAAATGAAGGACTACTGCTTTCACGGACAGTGCGTGTACATAGTGGACTTGGATGAGCACTACTGCAGGTATGGAGGGGGCACAGGGTGTTCTGCAGACCTCCCCGAGGTGGGCTGTGAGATGAACCATACGTGGCCTTCGGTCTTGCTGGAACATCAATCCAGCCAAGCATGTAAATGCTCCCAAGGGCTTCAGGAGGAGCAGTATATCCATAATGCACCTCAGATGCGTTTGAGCAAGTGTTAAGCACATGTGCTGGCTCCAGGGAAACCTGGGTGAGAGTCTGAGGACCTGAAATTAGTCACCACGCCAAATTCAGCTTGGGACACTCATCCTGATACGCTTCCCTGTTCATCCGTATTTATTGTTGCATGAGATCCAGACCTCAGGCAAAGCAGCAAGGTCTCTCCTTTGATTCAACCGGCAAAATAAAGATCCTCTAGGCATGGTTAAGGGTATTCCTTGTTTACCTGAAGAATTTGCAGCCATTTCTAGGACCACATGGGCTCGAGTTACAAAAGCTCAAATTGCTTGTCCCCGAGGAAGCAGCAGGCCAGCAGTGTAGCATGCTTTGTGGACTGCTAAGGTGTAACCCCACGGCAGCGTCTCTAACGCTGTGTCTCTTAACCTCAGGTGCGACGTCGGCTTCTCTGGTGTCCGATGTGTGCATTCGGAACTTGTCAGGCAGCCCCTCAGTAAGGAGTACGTGGTACTGACGGTTGTCGTCGTTGTGCTTTTCCTCACTGCCCTCTCCGTCGCGTGCTACTACATCTGCAGGAGGTAAGGAAGATTTTCTTAGTGGCTCGGGAAGGCGAGTCAGCTGTGTGTGTAGTACGATGTCCCCTGAGCACTTCCAGGTAGACTGGGATACCTACACTGGCTTGACTCACCACTCTAGTGGAAGGTGTCCCTGCCCGTGGCAGGGGGGTTGGAACTGGATGCTCTTTAAGGTCCCTTCCAACCCAAACCGTTCTGTGATACTACGGCTGCACGGGGAAGGTTGGACATACAGACCTGCTAGCCTGCGCTTAAGGAACTGGTCAGAACAGGATTGTGCTGAGTGCGTAGCGTAACCCAAATTGCAGGCTGGGCAGCAGTACCCTCAGATGCCTTTTAACCCTGACGGAGGACTCTACAGGTTAGTTCACGTCTGTCGTAGAGGGTGTGTTGGGGTAAAGGAGAGAGTAGGCAGGGAATAGGAAAATTCTAGTTCCTTTTCTTGGGAATGTTATTTTTATAATCAGGAACTGGATTAAGACAAGCTAATTTGTTTATCTGCCGTGTTACTCTGGTGACCGTGATATCGGGAGCGTTGCCTTACCAGCTTTACCATGGAGGACAGTAGTCTTCTCCATTAACAGACCTGCAAGCAGCAGGAA